CATTGCCTGTGAAATAATCAGCATGATAATTCCCTAGACATTGGATTTCAGAGTGCCCTGGGGTTTTTCTCACAGGTAAGGCAGCAAGTAAAAGTATAGTTTGGGCGAGTTGGGGAGATAGCTCAGTATTAAAGGGTGTGTGATTTGTTTTCTCTGGGACCGAAGTTGGAACGTTGGCACCACATGGTCCCTCTGACACTACCAGGTGTAGTAGCCCCAAAGGCCTCCAGACTCTGCCGGGGTGACCTTGGTCATCCATGAAAGCCCAGGGCCCAAGCAGCCCTGCATCCTTGTCACTGAAGTTTCCCCCAGATGTGTGAGACTTGTGAGCTCTCTGTTCTTAGCCTCACCCAAAAGTGTGACTTTTTTTTGACAATTCCTGAACATAAGAACCATTTTACATTTTATCTCAACTTGACGTAAGGAAGGTATTTTGCTTCTACAGCGTTGCAAAATTATGAGGTACTCTGATGGCATATATATCTGTTGTCTGTGTCAATGTGGGCAGTTTTGAGCCTTGATTGGGCGGTAGGCTTCTGTGGGCAGGTATATTTTGGCCACAGGGAGGACAAAGGAGCCTTCAATGCACGTTCAGCACCACCTTAACTATTTTCACCTTTCAAATATGAACAATAAGTGACTCATGAGATGTCAGCATTTTACCCAAAAGAAAGCCTTACAGATTATCACAAAGATTCAGCAGGTAAAACCAAATGGTCATGAGTACACTCTTTGGGATTTATCAGGAAGAGGATTCCTGGTTAAGGGTAATGTAATGTGAGACAGTTCAATGGGAAGAGTCAGCAAAAGATTTTCATAGGTCAAGAGGGACAGGCACGCCAAGTGATATTTCAGGAGGGCTTCTATTGCAAGTGCTGCAAAAATTGCTGAAACTGATCCACTGGGACAACCCAACCCCTTAAAGGAGGACCGTGAGTATGACAGGTACCATCTGACAAATAGACTTGAAGTCAACAGTAAATTTTTTATTTTTGAATAAAGCCCTGAAGAGATTAATGCCAAATTGGGGGGAATCTTCAGTGCAGAGGAAAACTTACCCGCAACTCCAGGGTGGCTGAGAGGGCTCACCAGCCCTGACTTTTCCACCAGTTTAGGAGAGGTGGGAGATTGGTCTACTTGTGTGGGACACCAAATATGTTGACCTCAAGGGAAAGCATTCAGTGATTCCAGTAACAAGCAGGGTTTATTCATAAGCAGAACAAAAGACAGTGTGTTCCTGGTAAGATCCAAATGCAAGTCCCTGAATCCAAGGTTAACAGGCCTCTCTCTAACCTTTGGAGAACCACCCCTTTAGTTCCTTCTGAGTGGGACACGGCATCCTTTCTTGCGGGAGATGAAGGCATGCCAGGTCTTCTAGTTTTTTGGCTGACACGTTGTTGGTCACTCTCTAGCTGCCCAGCCTAATTTAAATAGGCTTTCTTCACAGCACCCTTCTGGGTTGCAGACAGCCATTTTTTTGCATCCACCAGAAAAGAGAGCAAGGGAACTCTCTGCTCTCTTCTTAGAAGGAGAAAATAGTAGGCTCCATTTTCATCTCTCGTGATCTCCCCAAAAAAGCAGTTATCATACTGGGATTAGAGTTCAACATGAAAATTTTTGCAGGACACCAGCATTTGTCCATAACAGTGATCACTGTATCACCATCATCCCATTGTTCATCAGTTTCCTCGAGCAGGCACCAGTAACGTCTCCATTCTTCCTAGTCCTGAGATTTTCGCAAGTGCCACATTGGAGGCTCTTTTAGGGTCAGGGGAATGGGACCATCATTGTTACTGGGTTTTGGCATATCGAATGTGCCACAGGAGCTTGCCAGACTCTACCATGTGGGCAGGATACTCTCGGTAGCCTGCCAGGTTCTCTGAGAGCGAGAACTAGGCAATAATCATAACAATCATAACTAGGTAATAATCATAACAGGGATGGAGCTAGATAATCTGGGGCAGCTTTCATTTATTGCTTGTGTTTTAAAGATGCGAGACCAGGCAGAATAACCTAGAGTTTGCTTAGAAATGGAGAGAAGAGGAAGGGAGAATTACAGACCAGGTAGTATCTGGGGAACAAAAGGTAAGATGCCAGAGGGAATCATGAAAGGCGAAGAAGAGAATGTCAATTGTGACCGTCTGTTTAGAGTTACAGTACACTCAAGTACAGATCTACCCACTGGACTACCATCGAGCAGTGCTCTTTAGCCTTTTGACACTGGCTGGCACCTGTCCTTCCTACCAATTCATGGACTGACACTTATGACTGCTATGGAAGACCAGTAGTTTTCAGCCTTTCCATTCCTGCAAACCACTGTCTGAAGACCACTGCTTTATTTTTTTAAATTTTTTAATTTTTAATGAATCATCATGGGATACAGTTACAGACTTACAAACTTCCGTGCTTACATTTCAGTCATGCAATGATCCAGTACCCGTCCCTCCACCAGTGCCCATGCTCCACCTCCAATGTTCCCAGTATCCCTCCCACATCACCCCCCATCTCCTCTGTGTCAGGCGGATTCCCTTTTAACTCTCTCCTTTAGGACGTTGTGGTCTGCAGTGCAGGTGTTAAGTGGCCATCATGTTCCGTCTGTAGTCTACTTTCAGTACACGTCTCCCATCCCGAGTGGGTCCTCCAAGCATCCTTTACTTGACGTGACTGCATTAGAACACGGCTTTAGAACAGTGTTCCCCAAACTTTTTCTGTCAGTGGCCCGTTTCCAGCCTTTTTTTCTTCTTGCGGTCATCCCCTGCCCCCTACCTTGTTTTGCCCTTGTTCCCCTAGTCTTGTGCCTTGGCCAAATGTTCATGCAGTTTTTACCTGTGGCTTCCTTGGAATGTCAGGGATGGAGGGCAGGCGGTGAGGGGGGCTTCCAGGACATCATGTGCTTCCCTGTTGGGAAATGCTGCCCTAAACATAGATTCCCAAACTTATTTGACTTCCCTGCCAAAAAAGTTACCCAGATTTCCCTGGATTTAGTTAAGAAAACAAACAGAAAGCACCCTCATTGTCCCTACGGGGACCTTTCCAGCTGCTTGGTGTGGGGGAGTGGGGAGGAAGGGTGTGCAGTTCAGGTACCACGCGCATGGTAGAAACGTCGTCGAAATCAGTGGTCACAGGGCAGAACTGAGTTCACTGCTTGATCAGCTTTTATTTATTTTATTTTTTGCTTTTTGGGTCACACCCGGCGATGCTCAGGGGTTCCTCCTGGCTCTGCATTCAGGAATTACTCCTGGCGGTGCTCAGGGGACCCTATGGGATGCTGAGAATTGAACCCGGGTCAGCCACATGCAAGGCAAACGCCCTACCTGCTGTGCTATTGCTCCAGCCCCTTGATCAGCCTTTTGTACCTGTCACTGGGCTAGTCTTCCAGTTTATTTATTCAGTTGAGCTTAAGTCCAGAGATTTCCAAACTTGTTTGGCCCTCACCCCATTTTCATGAAAAATAATTCGCTCAGGGCCTCTCTGTGGTAACCCTAGGGGGTGTCATCCACTTTGTGAAAGCCTGACACAGTGGAATGTTGCTCAGGTGTTGGCCTTTCAGGTTTGAATTCTCTCGGGTTCACTTTTGAGAATAACGCACTGCCTGAGTGTCCTTTGGCTGCTTTTAGATTCCAACCCGTCCCCGTTTGTGTCAGGGAAGGGAAGGGAGCCCCGGGAAGCACAGGTTCCCATGGTGGGCTGCTCTGCCTCTGCTTGGCCAGACAAGGGTGGGACCCTCTGACTGACATTATCAGTAAATTAAATAAACATAACGGGACACAGTGCCACTTCCAGGGGCTTCAGAGCGGGTCCTTGGAGCCACTTGGTTGTGGACGGCTTGTGTCTAGGCACGTCCTGTTCCCTAGTATGAAGGTACTGGCACAAAGTACCACCTCCGCCCCCATCCCCTCCCCGACACACAACTGTCCATGCTCTGGATCACAGCTTCTCCACTGCCACGTATCGATAATATTAATACAGGGGATCTCTGTGAGCAGCCGATGTACATGAGACTCCTCTGTGAATGAGAAGGGGATTTATTTATTTTTATAGTCTTTTTTTTTGTTTAAATGAATTACTGTGAGATACACAGTTACAAAGTTGTCTATGATTGGGTTTTTGTCATTCTATATTCCAACACCCATCCCTTCACCAGTGTACCTTTCTCAGTTTCCCTCCCACTTCCCACTGACTCCTCCCTTCCCCTTCCCTTCCTTCCCCTCCCCTCCCCTCCTCTCCCCTCCCGTCCCCTCCCCCAGACTGCCTCTAGAGCAGACACTTTTCTTCTCTCTCTCTCTCTCTTTCTCTCTCTCTCTTCCCCCCTCTCTCTCTTCCCCCTCTCTCTCTTCCTCCCTCTCCTTCCCTCTTCCCTCTCCCCTTCCCCCACTTCTGGGCATTGCGGTCTCCAATAGTTTCCAATACAGGCGCTGAAAGGATGTCATGTGTATCCCTTTACCTCTTTTCAGCATTCAGTTCCTGTCCAGTGATCATTTCCAGCCATCACTGACATGGTGGGCTTTACAAGGGCCGCTTTTGTAAGAATTACTGGTTTATCTGTTTCATGACTGACTCGTAAGGTAGAGGAATCAGAGTGTCCTGGAATTCATATTTAGGCAGTGAATGTGAGTGTATGAATGGATGCGGGCTGGAAATTGTGCTGCTTTTCTAGAAATTAGAGGAAATTCTTTCCATTTATTTTGGGGGGGGGTGGTTGTTCCCTTATTGCTTCCACATTAGAATTTAATCATTCTTGCGAGAACCAGCATATACGTTCCTTTCTTTAAAATCTGAAAATCATCTCCTACGAGCATTCACATATCTACAGTCTTTCGTTTATACTTTTATGTATATCCATATCTGAGAGAGAGTAGATGTACTTAGTAGTGCTTTGTGGCTCCTCCCCCTCCCCCCCCCCACCACTCCCCAGCATTTTTATTTTAGCAAATGCATCAATGGACAGTGGTGTGGCAGTTTCCGTGGCATGGTGATTACTCATTTCTTTTTCTTTCTAGGGAAAAAATCATGGTAAGAAACTCCGAAATTACTATGCAGCCAACAGCTGCCCTCCTCCTGCCAGAGTGAACAGCGTGGCGGAGCCCGTGGCGACTCCCGGGGTCCCAGGCCCCCCGCAGGTGAGCAGGGTCAGCTGGCGGCTTGCCCAGGCCCAGGGGATCTGGGGTGAAGTTTGTCATCCAGGTGACCTTCAGGGTATAGGTGGGCCAATATTCCTGGAAGGGCTCATTTTTAACCCCTTAAACTACAGCGCTGGATCTGACACATGCCCAGATTTCACTGGCTTTGGTCGTGAGGCATGAAACGGTAAAAGCAATTTTTCTGAATCTGTCTTTCAGTTAAGAGACCAAGGATGTCTAGACTAACCCCCTGAATGTGAAGCAAAGATGTTTCAAACATTTATGTCTGTATTTCAGCGAATCAATTTGTTGTTGTTTTGGGTTTTTTGCCTCCCTCCTCGCAAACTGTGCTCAGGTTATTCCTGGCGGGTCCCATGTATGGTGTTGGAATGAGTCCCAGGGTAGCCGGGTGCAAGGTATGCACGCTGCCCACTGGACTCTCTCTCCAGCCCCAAGACAGTTTTTTAACTTTTTTCTTCCCTCCCCTCTGTGCAGAGAGCCTGTATCAGGTCTTTCAGGACTTTGCCCGAAAGCAAGTTCCTTTCCCCTTTGGAGGATACACTAGGTGTTTCAAGGAAGATACTCCTGTGCTTGGATGACCCTTGGTATCGGAATGTTCCTTAATCTTAGTCTGGAGCATGATGTGCACATAGACACGTGCTGCGGTTCTAAGTCAGAACCCACGGAAGCACTTTCTGTGCATTATCTCACAGGCGGGTCCTATGATGAGGGTGATCACTTGATTCGGACACAGTTTAAGAGGGAGCACAAAGAGATCAAGACACACGTTCTAATGCAGTGTTTCAAAAGATTCAAAACTAATGTGGAAAAAGCCTGTGGTGAACAGAACATCAGAAACTTAAAGACAGAATGAGCATTTTTACTGATTTTTCTTTGCCTTTACTTGTAGTTTGGTATGAGAGCGATCACACCTTTATTTTAAATGTTGGCACTTGGCTCTTTTTTTGCATTAGGTTTGATTGGAAAAAGCATCCTCTTAAATTATTTTTTATTTTGCTCACGGCATGTACCTTCTGCCTACTCCTGAGGCTTGGCTTGATTTCCTGCTGGCAGTAACTTGGGCATATTTGTCTTATTATTTGAAGTGGAATGTGCAGACCATAAGCATTGGTCTCTCAGAAATTTATGATAAGCTTGGACAAGCTAAGGAACTCATCCACTAGGTTTCATGGTTTGTAAAGTAATCAAGGATTTTAATCTTCGATCTGTGCTCTTTGCTCTGATGGTAGAATTTTACTTGCCCGAAAGCCAGTTTGCTAGTTAAAATGGATGGAAAAATCAGCTGCGCTTGCAGCGGCCTGAAGTTGTGAGGAAAATGAAGTATGTTAAAAACAGAATCAGACGGGGCCAGAGAGGGCGTCTAGCAGGGCGCTTGCCTTGCACGCAGCTGGCCCGGATTCCATCCCCAGCACCACCTGGTCCCCAGCGCACAGCAGGAGTGCTCCCTGGGTGTGGAGCCAGGAGTAAGCTCTGAGCACCACCCTGCACAGCTCGTCCCTCCAAACTGAAAATCAGAGGATGGCAGGAGACCACCTCGAGACCTTCAGGCAAAGTCGTTCTGGTTCTCCAAGTGCAGCTTCCCCAGGGCCGCTCTGGAATCTGAGAACCACCACCAGTTGGGAATTGTTTTTCACTGGCTTCACCCACCTGGGCCGAGTTTTCGCTTTCTCTCGTGGCTTCTTCCTTTGTGAGTTGTGAAAGCAGCTGTCTTATCCCCAGAAAAATCTCTCTTCAGTGAAACTTGGGCTGTTTGTGAGGAGCGCTCGGCCTTCCTGATTTCTTCCTTTGCTTCTGGTAACTGTGCTTTCCAGACGCGGCACTGAATACTTATCCTTTCGCTGAAATCCGGGCTGTCGTTCTGTGCTGCCCGCCCAGTGATGTGCACGGAGCACACGCCGCCTTCCACGTGCCGCAGCAGAGGGCCAGTAGCTCGTTCCACAGCCTCTAAGCAGTTGTTTGGATTTTCTGGTTATTTTCACCCACTTATGACTGGAGTTAATTTGTGGGCTCCTTGAGGGTCTGACTTATTTTTTAAAATAGATCTTTATAGCCTTCCTGGATTTGGCAGTAAGTCTGATTTAGTCCTTAAGTAAAATGCTCGTAGATGACTTGTGGGTAGATTTTACTCTTCTGGCAGTATAATCTTACACCTTACCCATGCGGCCCGAGTTACCCATGATCTTTAAAATTTTATTTTAAACAATTAATTAGGGCCAGAGAGATAGTACAGCAGGTAGGGCACTTGGCTTGATTTGATCTAGGTTTAAGCTAGGTTTGATCCCTGACACTACATCTGGTCCCCTGAACATTGCCAAGAGTGGACTATGTCAAGTGTCCTGAACACTGCCAGGAGTGATCCCTGAGCGTAGAGCTGGAAGTGAGCCCTGAGCACAGCCGGGAGTGGCCCAACCCCCCGCCCCCCCCAAAGGAAAAAGAAATATTATCGATGGAAATAACTATGCTGTTCACCGCTTTGACTCACAGAAGACTGTCATGCAAAATATGATTATCTTTCGGCCTCCCAACCCCCAAAAAAACCCCTGTGCCCCCATGAATTACTTCCTTTCCTTATAATACCGAGTATTTGTGTTATACTCTAACCTCAGTTCTTTTTCCGAGTCTTAGAAGGAATTTGAAGAGAAGTTGGGAATGCACGCTTCATGTTTCAGCCTTGTTTTTTGTGTCTTGGATGTTAGATGGGCTCCTTTAAGCCTGGAGGCCGAGTGATCCTGGCCACTGAGAACGATTACTGTAAGCTCTGTGACGCCGCCTTTAGCTCCCCGGCCGTGGCTCAGGCTCACTACCAAGGGAAGAACCACGCCAAGAGGCTGCGGCTGGCAGAAGCCCAGAGTAACTCATTCTCGTAGGTATTGCCCTTTGCTCCGAGGCCAGAGTGTTGTGTGAAAGCATCCTTAAAGCTAGGCAGAGTTGAAACGGACCCTCGTCTGCAAGTCTGACTCATAAAATTGTTTGAATTTCTTTCCTCCAGGGAGTCCTCAGAGATTGGGCCACGGAGGAGCCGGAAAGAAGGGAATGACTATAAAATGATGCCGAACCGGAGAAATATGTATGCAGTCCAGAATAATTCAGGTATATCCTGAGGATGCCCACATACTTTGGTTGTATTCCGCAAATAGTCGCCTTTGTTTTTATTCCTTTAAGGGCAATAAGAGAGCCCTGGGAATTTGGGGTTAGCTGGTGCTTTTTTTTTTGTTTTTTATTGGTCTAGTGGCTTTTCAAGCTGCTGTTTATTTCAGGTCGTACCGATTTCCTTCTTAGTGGACTATTTACTTGCATTTATTTCTTGCAGTCCTGGGGATCAAACCCAGGGTCTCACACCTGCAAATCAAACACTGTCCTGCTGTGTTAAATCTCTGGCCCTTTTGGTTTTTGGGCCACACCTGGCGATGCTCGGGGTTACTCCTGGCTAGCAAGTCCTAGTGGAGCTGGGGGATCTATGACATGCTGGGGATTGAACCCGGGCTGGCCTCATGCAAGGCAAGCACCCCACCCACTGTGCTGTCTCTGGCCCCACCTGCCCCTCTCCTTTGATGGGATTCTTTTGAGGGGGTGGAGCCACATCTGACTGTTCAGTGCGTACTCCTGGCTTTGTGCTCAGCGATCACTCCTAGCACTCCTAGCAGGGCTTAAGGAACAAACCTGGGACAGCCACATGCAAGGCGAGCACCTCAGCTGCTTGCTACACACTCTCTCTCAGGTCCCTTGTTGGAGTGGTTTGAACCAGGGTAGTAACAAGAATTGCCTGGGGAGTTTGTATAAAATTCACACTCCTGAACTAGGACTTAAAGCTTCTCAGGCAGTAAATCTGGGATGGAACCCAGGCATTTGTGTGGGCTTTGTGTGTGTGTGTGTGTGTGTGTGTGTGTTGTTGTTGTTGTGCTCAGGGCTTATGCCTGGCTTTGCTTGGTGGAGCTTGGAGGACCTAATGGGTTGTCAGGAATCAAAGTCAGCCAGCTGCGAGCAAGGCAGATGCCGCACCCCCTGCGTTATCTCACAGGCGCTGGTGTGTGTTTTGAAGTGGGCTGCACGGTGGTTCTGCTTTGCTCCTCCAGTTCAGAGCCACCAGTTTAGAAAGGCGTTCTGCATTTACTGTTTTCCTGAGTGGTGGGCATAGTACTGAGGGTCAGCTCCCTACTCCAGCAAGTGAGACAAACAATACATCAATACACCCAAGTATCAATACATCCACAGTGGTCATTTACATGAAACAGTAAAAATCATAAAAATCAGTGAAAGGTAAAGGCAAGAGAAGCACCTCAAGAAGGACTCGTAGAACATACAGTGTAATATGATTAGTAAAAGTCCTAACGCATATCAGTTACAGTAATGCCAATTTATTTAACTAATTAAAAGACGGGCTGGAGCAATAGCACAGCGGTAGGGCGTTTGCCTTGCACGCAGCCAACATGGCCAGCCTGAGTTCGATTCCTCCGCCCCTCTCGGAGAGCCTGGCAAGCTCCCCGTGTTGTATTTGATATGCCAAACACAGTAACAACAAAGTCTCCAATGAAGACGTTACTGGGCCCGCTCAAGCAAATCGATGAACAACGGGAGGACAATGACATTATGACAATGACAGTTAAAAGACAAGAATTGCAAGATTAGAACAGTTATCTGAATTGTGGAAAACTGAAATGGCTATATTAATGTTAGATAAACAACAGAAAATGGTTTAAACCTTTTTTCAAATTTTCAAACAAGAATACAAATTAGATGATCTCTCAGTATGAAAATAAAAGAACACAACAACCAACCAAAAATTGTATCTGTGGAGAAATTTTAAAAAACTCATAAGTGACTCATGAGTCAAATAAACCATTTGGACATCAGAAATCCTTTGAACTAAGTTGTAAATGCAAAGATAAGAAAATGTATAGGTTGCAGTAAAAATAATGTTTTGGTAAAAATCAAGATACTGGAAAGGCAACGTAGAAAATTGGGCTCAATTTAAGTCATTTAAGTAAAATTAATGGAATAAAATTGGCATTAATCCCAGTGTTTTTGTATATGTCATTCTAATCTCTTTATGCACATTCCTTAAAATAGAAATGGGACCATATTTTATTATGTGCTTCACTTAGCTTATTTAATCAGATGTTCATGTAATTAAAACATTTTATATAACACCACTTTTAGTGACTGCTTGATTTTCCCTTGCATTTATTATTATAACTTTTCATATCATATTTTTATATTTTTCTCTTTTGCATTTTTAAATAATGATAAAGTATTATTGATGATGTTCTTTGCAAAAATTCTCAATATATATATTTAAGGAGAATTCTTAGCAGTAGGACTTTGGATTTAAGAGTTGGCACAGCGGGTAGGGCATCTGCCTTGCACGCAGCCAACATGGCCGACCCGAGTTCGATTCCTCTGCCCCTCTCGGAGAGCCCGGCAAGCTACCGAGAGTATTCGATATGCCAGACACAGTAACAACAAAGTCTCCAATGGAGACGTTACTGGGCCCGCTCAAGCAAATCGATGATCAACGGGAGGGCAAAGATTAGAAGCCTTTAATATTTTTTTCACTTTGGGGCCAGAGAGATAGCAGTCTGAATAGGACACTTCTCTTGCAAGTGGCAGACCCAGGTTTGATCCTTATTATCCATATGGTCCCCAGAGCCTGCCTGGAGTGTTTCCTGAACATAGTGCCAGGAGTAAGCCCTGAGCACAGCTGGGTGTGGTCCCAACAGAAAAACAAAACAAAATTTTATTCATTCTTTAGACAGTTGCCACTTGTAGTTTGGGTTTGGCTTTCTAGTATTCTTCCTGACCATACTCTATTGGAGGGAATATTTAAAATTTTTAGATTGAGCCTTTATGAGATGTTAATTAAGAATCCATTAACTTTAGATTCCTTTAATACGAGCATCTGTAAATTTTATCATTTGAATTTAGGGGTACAGGTTATGATGACATTACACGAGACTCTCATTCTGCATCACTTTCATCCCTTGCTTTAGCAGGTCCTTACTTTAATCCCCGCTCACGACAAAGAATTCCACGGGATCTGGCCATGTGCGTTACGCCAAGTGGCCAGTTTTACTGTTCGTTGTGCAACGTTGGAGCAGGCGAAGAGGTGGAATTCCGGCAGCACTTGGAGAGCAAGCAGCATAAAAGCAAGGTGTCTGAACAGCGCTACAGGAGCGAGATGGAGAATCTGGGCTACGTATAGTGATTGCTGTGTTCAGAGCAGTGTGTCCTGTTGTTGGCCTTCTGTCAATGTGTCCTGCTTTGTGATCCTCTGATATGAGTACATTCCTAGCTTACTGTTAGTACATGTAGCCATGCAGTGGTACTGTGAGATGTCAGAACTGGGGAAGGGCAAAGAACATGCTTCTTAGGGTCCTCAGATGTTTCGGGTTGGTTATGTCAAGCTACTTATTTATTAGAGCATGTTACCTGCCTACCCCGTGAGAAACAACATTTTTATTTTGACCGAGTTTAGGCCGACTAGTAGCTTGACCACGTAGAGCTTTAACTATTTAAACTTGTCTTTTTAAAAAAAATTCAGTTTTTGTTTCATGTACTGTTAAATACTTTTATTGAGTTCTTGCTCCCAGATCATGGTAAAAAGAGCTCAGCAGAGATTTTGGTTTTTTAAAACATCTTTGGAACCACCACCTCAACTCAGTATCTTGTTAATAAGAGGTACTTGACAAACCGCTGTAGGATCTTTCAATTTTCCCAGAACACCACGCCCCCTCCCCCCCTCCCCCCCTCCCTCCGCCCCCCAGCAGCAACTTCTTTATTTCTAGTTGTGAATTTCCCTCATTTAAGTGTTCCTTCCTCCTCTTTGACCCTCCCTTCAGGCCTCCAATGAATTATCTTCTCAATGAACTCCTTTTCCTGTTCTGGCTGGGAGTGATTTTCCAAGGCCCCTATTTGAATCCGTTGAGTTGAAGCTAGACATGATTAACTAATGTTTCCCAGCTGTTTTTAGGAAATGTAAATCTGTGTTTGAGTTCCCAGTTTAGAGTTATTTCATGATATAAATGCACTTATAGTCCCAGCCATACCGTCAGTTTTTTTAATTGATTCGGCGCACTCTTTTAGATATCCTACCTTACTTTTTTCTTGCTTGTCTTCTCCATCGCGCACGTTGTTTGTCCGGAAAAATGCTATTTTTTTCATAGAGAGGAGTCAAGACAAAGTGAATCAAATTTCTGTATCATTCACACTAGAAAAATTTCTGAAACTTGGTTTCGTTCTTTAGAAATTCATCTTCCTTGAAGGTAATAATTTTTTTTTTGTAGATAGCTTTAGTATCCAACAGTTACAGCAGTATTATTTTTGTTGTTTTTGAAATAAGAAGCTCTAGTGTATGTCTAGATTAACTCAATAAACTTTCATTAGCTGGATTGTATCTATTCCCTGTATATACATGGATAAGACTGGTGCTCATCCATACTTCTTTTGAAAGACCACATTCATCAAGGGGTTTATATTGAGCTGTATTTTTGCACCATGTCCAATTTACACTTGATTGTTTATGTTACTAGTTAATAATAAAACTCCTCTGTTTTCCTGGATCATTCTGTAGGCAAAGAGATGGGAAAAATTACAGTCATCCTTGATTTCCTTTAGAATTTCTGAATAAAGTGAACAGTCTTCATCAATGACTTTCAATTTCTGTAGACCCACAGACTAGCAGAGGTCTGTGGACTGACGTCTGTGCTCAGTAGCATTTGTTTTCTTGAAAACCAAAAGTGTGGAACCTGTGGGCCCCACAGTTGAAAACCATTGATCCAGACCCATGATTAGAAATCCTAGTTTTGCAATTTACTTCTAATACAATATCGAGTTTCTGTCTTGTGTTGAAGTGTTGGTTTTTGAAAGAGAATTGTGTAGGAAATTTTTTTCTCTCCCGGAAACAAGAAATAATGTTCCGTTGAGATTCAAACTAAATCTGTGACTCTTGATAATCCTTTTTGCAGTTATCTGCAAAGTATAATGAATTAGATTAGGGTAGTTTAGAGTTTATTTTGTCAGTAGGATTTTTGTTTTGCTGCTAAGTATATATTTTTTGGGTAGATTTGAATATTTCAGTGCTGGCCACTTGTTTCTATATTATTTAAAAATCTAATTTTTTTCTCTGTATGTGTGTGTATGTATATATGTATATGTATGTGTACATGTGTATTTATGTACACACACACACGTAAAACAATGTGTATATAGTTTTATGTGAGGCCATAGAGATTTCATTGAGTTCTTAGTTCAGCTAACAGTAAGGGATCGTGGGTAAGAATTTTCATTTTGTAAAAGTGATATTTATCCACATTTAGTTTTTTCCTTGCAAATAAGACGAAAAGAAGGGTTATTCTATTGTAGCCACTTAACAACTTCATAATATATATATGAAAAGCAGTGGATTAAGGCCTTGATGTTTTTCAGGCCTGTGTATTCAGGTTTCCAGTCTCCCAGTGCCCTTAATGGAATTTATGAATGCATAAACGCATTTTCTTTTAAAGAAAAATAGATTTATAGTATTATTTCCTACTTGCTATATTTCTTTGCACTAAGAATGAGCTATGTGTTTGTTTTATATGACGCTTTAGATGCCATATTGCCTACAATAACTTGGTTTGCTCCTTAATTTAGAGTTGATAAATAACTTCCATGATCACTTATAGAAGTTACACATACATCCGAAAAAAAAAAAGAAAATCACAAATCTCTGTGACAGTGGGCTGTGTTTTGGACGTGTTACCTTGCAGTATTCTCCTGCGTTCTTTGATGAAGCAAAGGGGGTCAGAGACTGTCAGAAAGAAAATGCCTAAATTAATGCATGGTACAATTTCTCATGGTGCAATTTCTTAGACTCACGAATTCCTTTTCAACAGTGCTTTTTTTTTTCTCCCTGTCAAACAAAGCTGTTGTTACTACAACAGTCAGTGAAATGTGATCTTTATTGGTTTAATTTTGTGCAGTTTGGTCTTGCTCTATAATGTGCTTTAGAATTTGTTCCCTGTGCTGACCAGGAATCATGTTAGCATCTGTCTACATGCTGTATACAAGGACAGACAGAAACCTAAACTATGGAAAAACTGTAGTCAAATTAAATAGATTTCAGTAATCATCTGCAAGTCCTCATAGCATCAGTGTCTCTTCTCTCTGTGAATACTTACGTGTGAGTTGTCGTTCAAAACCAGTGTCAGAAAATAACAGTCGAGAACGTCTTCAGAGATGTTGAGGGTAAGAAGTTGTAAAGGAAAATTTCCACGTTCTAATTAAAAGACTGGTTTGTATATGCCTTCGAAGTGGTTTCTTTTTTAAAAGTAATATTTAATTTACAGAACTGAGTGTGCCATGTAATTCTTTGACTCCACACTGAACAAAAATATGTTGTCTTTAAATGTCATGTACTGCAACTTGTAAATATGTGCATGTTGTTGATCACGTTTGTCTGCTTGTCTCCTGTTGCACTGAATTTGCAAAATGAGTAAGTTTCTTAATCCATTCATTTAGAGAAAGTTCCTTCTTCAACTCCTCATTATGTCCTTTTTCAGTGGTAAATTGAGAAAACCATTTAGAAATTTTGCCACCCTGAGATTGAATGAGGTATCATGGTTACCTCGTTCATGTCTAATCATGCCATGTCTCATCAATTTAAACAGCTGAAAGGAAAGAAGAGATGTTGCAATTACTTTACAGTGCTGTTTTAAAGAGCTGTAATACTTGATTATATCTGTATTTTGAACAAGAATAAGAAGGTCTATATATGTAAATCTTTCTCAGCAGATAGAATCGGAAGATTTGGTTGGATGCATGCTACCTTCACTCCCGAGTTGTCTTGGATTATGAATAATGACAGTTTGAGGACTATGCTGTGATCTATGCAGATGAGTTAGATGTCAGTGGAGAAATAAACCTTTAAGCATAGTATTGGCTACAGGGAGGCCCAGGAATGGTAGATTTAGAACCTAATTAGTTTTTTTTACCTCAATGTCAGAATTTTTAAGCTGGAAGTTTTCTCTAAAGAACTTGGTGAGGCATTATAGAAAGGACTGTTGAACTGCCATAGGAATAGAGAAGTATTTTGTTAGTATAAAGGAAGTTTATTGCAGGCTTTAGAACAGAGGTTCAAAGAAATTTCCACTTACCAACTTTTTTTTAAAAATCATCCAAATCATCATATTGTTTTATGATAATGAACAGTGTTTACTGGTTTGCTTTTCTGGCTGTGGACCCCTGCAGATGTGATCTCTTATCACCCACCTAGATGAATGGATAAATAGCTGTATAATGACATCTCACAGACATTTCTACTGATAGCAATTTGACTTTTTTTCCTTCTACAAATGGGAGAACCATTTGTAACTCCCTTTCTGGGTAGCTACCAAAAAATACTGGCTTCTGGCCCCATGTCACCCTGTCTCCATTCTCAAGCCCAAAATTTGAGTGCCTTTCGCAAATTTTAGCATTTTACAGAGAGAAGAAATGATTTAATTAGTTTATAAACAATGAGTTTGAAAGAGCAAAGGTTTGTGTGAAATTTTTGTTCTACCTTTTTTTTTCTTAATGTGCTTTCAGTTTGATTAATAAAACTGTTGTCATTATTGATCAGGAACTGTATAACCTAAATATGAATCCAGTTGTTTCAGACTGGTAACTGTCATTGATTCTCTTTTACTTCCATCCATTACATTTATATTTCATCATGGTAGTGTGGTGGATTGGGAAGATCCTTACACCCATGTTTGGAAAAAACTATTGCAGTGTCTTTTTTAACCTGTATGTTCTGTAGACAGGAGAGAATGATATATTTACATGTGACAAGATCTCTTGTACAGTAATCATGTCATTTCATCTTTAAACTCAAAATCTTCACAACTCAAATTTCAAGTCTTTAGGCATTTTTTTTATAATTTAAAATTTCAGATTGCCTGAGTACTTTTGAGTTTTAAGATACACTGCCAAATTAATTTTATTGTAGGGATATCAACAATTTTCTCGTTGTTTTGTTGTGAAAAATTTCAAATACCCATCATGTCAAAAATTTTTTGCAGTATACCGGTCACTAGATTCTATCACCAAATTTGACTGTATTTGGAATATCACATATTTCTCCATATCCATTGATTTATTTGAGTTTAAAAAGTATGCATTTCATTGTCTATTACATTGCAGTTTTTCTTCGAATAGGTGTTATTAACTAGAATTTAATGTTTGTTTAAATGTTAATACTTTAACATAGTTGAACAAGTTGATGACCTGAGCCAATCAAATACCTTTTTCCCCTTCTGAAACTTAATCTTCCAGTTTCTACTTTCATATGTGTTTTGAGTGAGGGAAGACAACACCTTTTCAGATGGAATTCTTCTATGTTGGTCATTTTAAATGCTTTATTGTCATACATCTTCAAGTTCTTGGTAAACACTTTTTCTTTACCCCTCATAATAAATTTTTAGCTGAACTATGCAGCCTCTTAAGCTGTAAATGACATATTCGGATTTGTTAGATCAGCTTTCACCTCATTTCAATCTACTGCT